AAGACCTGAGCTTTATTAACTGGGCACCTGATCATAAATGCAGGCTGATCAGGAGCGTCAAGTGTTCACAATCACGTGTGGAAAATTTCAGCTCCATGGGTTTTCAACTTTTCATGAAACACGCAATTAAAATGTGTCTGGTTTTTATTGACGCTAAGTATATATCTATACGTGTACTACACAGGACCACCTTGACAGACAGCCCTGATTTTTTTTAAATTGGGGGAAAAAAAGACAGCAAAGAATGGGGTGTTTTTTTTTCTCTCAAAGTGTTAACGGGTTAACAATGCGTACTGTAAAGGGACAAAACCACCCCGTGCAGCACGGAAACCCTCAGGGAATTTTAGTCAAATTTGCAATTATTGGTCCTTGTTGAAGTCTGTGCATTGTTGTCTTCCCGAAAGACTGTAACTGTTCGCGTCCCTGTGTGTTTTACCGCGAGCCGACGGCAATTAAAAACAAAAATAGAAAAGAAAAGAAAGAAAGAAAGAAAGAAAGAAAGAAAGAAAGAAAGAAAGAAAGGAAGATGCGAGAAGTAGTCTTAGCGTCTTAGATTATAGTGAAGTGTGTCAGGCTACTGTTGCAGAAAACAAGTGACCTAGAAACATGACGGGTGTTATTAAGTCATACATGTCGTCGGCCCATCCCCTTATTCTGTGGCGGCGAGCTTTGTTGATGAAATTTATTTTGACCTTAGGCCCTCTGCAGTTGCTAGCGCCGTTAAACCTTACATGTACTAAAACTAACTAACGTTTCTCGAGCATTTGACCTCAATGTTCGCTGTGTGTCTTGTCAAACGTAGCAGCGGGTGACACACGAGACACTCCAACAAGTGGCTGCTCTTACAACCTTAAAATCACTTGAGATGATATGATAATAATAAAAATATAATATATTTTTTTCGTGAGAAGCTGCTTAACTCTTCTAAGCAAAGGAAGCAACTTTTGCACAAAACAAAACAAAACAAATAAACAAAAAGCGTAAAAGAAAAAGTTCGCCTTGTTGGTTTGTTTGTTTGTTTGTTTGTTTGCTTGTTTGTTTATTTTACTATTATCATTATTTTTTCAAGGTTTGGTCCTTAAAAGTCTTTCCACAGAGCAAGGCAAGATAAGATTTAGATACAGTGTATATATCTAGCCGTGA